TCATGATCCATATCATCAAAATCATAAACACCATTATCAATATCAATATCATTTTCCTTTGAAACCCAGAATCTTCTAAAGATCGCAGATTCAGGTCAAATATTAGGGTCATTCACCATAATTCTATCATGGTGATTTGAACTAATATTGAAGGATGCACAATTCAAAGGCTCAATTCAACTTCAATATTGAGGACCGCTTGTTTTATCATTGTCAATGTTACTATTGTTCCCTAATATTGTTATAATAATGTTACTATAGTATTATAAACCGATAGGCGCGGCCTAAACCCTGTCTCTTATACACATCTAGATGTGTATAAGAGACAGATATATATATATGTGTGTTACCAAATGATCGATGACACAATATACTACTAATAAAATTCAAAAATATGACGATACTTTTGAGAACGATCATGTCAGGCAATGCCTGAAACCTTTATTAGGCTTAGCCATTGCTAAGCCTTACGTTACATACATGTTTCGACAGATCCTACTGTCATCATCAGTGTACAGAGATTCCATATAGGCAATCTTATTTAAACGAAGCGAAGTTCGTGACACGTCAATCTACACGTAATTCAACCGTATCAGGTTGTGAATACTAAGATCATGAATAGAAACAAAGTATAAATGGTAAACGGAATGAAGTGAAATCAAAATGACAAAGTTAGATTAACATAGTAGAGTTGTTTGTTGGGTGAGGGCTGTTCCCATTGAATATGTAATGCCTCCTTTATTTCGAGAAGATGAATTGATGGGGCGGAGTCGAGAATACGGGAACAGTCCTCACTACATTGTTTGAAATCGTCATATTTTTTAATTTTATTAGTGGTATATATCTGTCTCTTATACACATCTAGATGTGTATAAGAGACAGACTAACCTCTTCCTCTATAGCCCTAGGCCTATATGATCTGTTATCACAAGCAAGTTAAAGGTTGTATAATAATTGTCAAAAACGGTTGTTAGTTGTTCAATATTATCAGAGGTCATCAAGAAACCAATGATGCTTAAAATCTGAAATCATCAAATAATGATACGATAATAATTATATTTTGATTACATATAGGCCAAGCCACCAGATTCTACCTAAGGTCTAGTGTATCTCTTTCCAATTAAACAGTAAATATCTGATTGGTTTTATTTTTTTTAAATATCTATTCAAAGTAAATTATCTATAGTCTCTTTTGCATTGCTTTGACAACGAAGAGATGCCTACATTATTTACAAGCCATGACTTTTTTTCTTCATTTATAAACAGGAAATTAAAAATTTGAATTTCTGGTCTTTTTATTAAACTTAATCTACTTCGTTTTGTGTTTGGATTTTCGACACGGTCTATGAAAGACCGTGACAGAATTACGGAAACTAAAACCGTAATTTTTTTATGTATAACATTCATAATGCTGAAAACTCAAGTGTCCGATTGGTAACGTTTATTGCTAAAAACCTAAGGAACGATATAATGATTATCGATAACAAATTAATAATGGGATAGGCCAATACGTGATTGGTCAGCATAGTCAATATCTTATACCCTAAATAAATTACAACATTTATAATTCGCGTGTACAAGAACCACGCAATCAGTTAGCAAACTGTATTCTTGGATGTTGTGTAAATATTGAGATAGAATAAGCAGCATTCAGAACATGTGAGTTGAACACTTGTTTATAACAAGATAATTATTTTTCAATAATTAGTTACTAACTTCATTTATCAAATCATATACCGTTATAGAATTTTTGGCGCAAATTATGTCGTCGTAACCACGGTACTCGGATTGCAAACTTGAGAATCCGATGTTGGACTACAGAAATAGAGTTTATTCTAAATTGTTGATGTAGGCCTATACATGATCTTCAAGCTAGCATTAATGAAATATTGACGACGTTATCCTCATAAAAAATTATTTTGCCATTTGTTGGTTGAATTGCATTATTAAATGTTTAAACCTACTTTCTGGATAAAAATTTCAATTCTATTCAGTTATATTTTATTTAAAATCTCCATAGAAAACGCATTACAAGATATTGTCGGATATTTTTTTTAAATATAGAAAGCCTACAATATACTAAAGTAACTGCACTAAGTGTTAAGTGTCTCATCCAGTTCATATAGGCTTAGTAGTACTAAATATAGAAATTACATTATAAAAACATTAAAATTAATTTTTTTTTAAATAGAAAATAGCACACAATATAAAACAGCAAACACCGAATAAATCCAAACCTAAGGAAATACAACTGATGATACCAGAATTAATTGTGATGATAATAATGTTGTTATAAGAGTAGATAGGCTTTCTTTTTAAACGATTTTAAAGGTTGATGAAAAATATCTAAAGTGTGTTTAAATCTAAAGGGCATTGTTACTATTTATCATTCTAATCATGAAACCATAGCAAGTTTTTTTTATGAATTCATAGAAAGATGGAACATTTCTTGTTACAAACATCTGACTTGCATTACAGTGTCTCGGAAGCCCCAGCATATTGTAACACACCTGCAACTTCATGATATTAACCTGAGTAAATTTGGCCCATAGGCTGCTGCAATACATAGTGCTACAATATGATTTAAACAGATTGCACGTAACCATATATAGGCCTAATGACTTTTTAGGATTGAATAAGACATGCCTAATACCAGGCTTTACAAATACTGACTAGCTGTTGGAGATCAGTTAGTGACAGGCGCGTAACAGAGATATTGGGTCGTGGGGGTGAGGGGGGGGGGAAATGTAATAATTTTCCCGGTTAGTAATTTATCATACCCATCACACCCTCCCCCCTCCCACCCCATATAGAAAACAATACGATATGGGGGCTTCTTATTTATAATATAGGCCACCGTTACGTGTGTTTGAAACTAAACATAAGCATTTTCATCATGGTTTTATTTATTACAAACATATTCTTTCACCATCAGTACACACTGAGGCCATTCTTTTAGGTAAAACGATCTATCTTAAATTTTCTTTCTTGAGTTTGGGACTAGGCCTATTATGTGTTTAAATAACTTAGAAGGCTAACCCTAAAAAAATGCAAAATTCTTGTGTTTTTAATTCTAATTTCGTCGGAATTGATCAAAACTCCTTAAAATGTGCAATTTTTAGAGAAAATTGGCCTACTTTTAACAAGAAATGCGCGAAATTTGAGATTTTTAGGCACTTTCAGGAGGTAAAAAGGTCTTCAAGGGGTGGGGAAAGATTTTTCACAGATGGATATTTTCCCCTTGTCCCCCGGTGGCTACACCACTGCGGAGAATATCTGGTGGCTTAGATCAAAGGAGCTATGGACACTTTTTGAAGTGGAGAAGTGGTTGCAGGGTGTTGTGAGTCTGGTCATTATGATATCTTCCTTTTTATTCTTGTCTATATTTTTCTCTTTTCTTTTTCCTTTCCTTTTTCATTTCCTTTTCTTTTCCCCTTCATTCTCTTTCCCCCCCTCTCCCCTCTTTCTTTTCTCTTATTACCCAGCCTGCTACGACGGCTTGGGCAGCCTGGTAAAATCCCCGCCTGTTACGCCACTTTAGTAAAGGCACTGAAGAGTGTCCAGTGATTCACTTTGTCGAATGCCTTAAAAGCATCAATAAAGCCAGAAAAGACTGGACTAAAATTACGATTGTAAAAAGCTGCTCCATTTCTTTGCTTCCTTCTTTAAATCAGTACTTCCCAACTGACCCTCTTTCATATGTCACGTTATACGATGTTTGTATTACGTAAACAGGATGGCTGTGATTGTTATACCGAGTCTACGTCATCAGCTCTACTCACACTTCAGTGAACATCTCCAGTGGGCGGGGCTTATACTAATATTTGAAACCGTCATTTTGAATATTTATGAACCAAAAATTAAATATTTTATTACCACACATTTGTTAAACATATGTAATACTTCAATAATCAGCAACTTAAAAAGCATCATTTTAATTGGACTTTAAGTAGGCCTATAGGACCACTGCGCAGGTGGACGTGGTTTAACGAGGAACGACCAGTCGAATACGGCCACTGTTTACAGTTACAGGCGGTCACGTGACCTAACTTGGGTATACATGGAAAAAAAAAACAACATTATAACAGTGCGATAACACAGGGTTGCGAAAACAACCACCAACTGTTAACGTGAGACGTAAATGGCTTAGGAAAGGCAATACGATTATAATATAAGTGTTTATTTACTTATTCTAGCGTCATTCTTAAGGGGGTCGCGAAACTTACTCTTAATGTTCAAACTCTTAAGTTGCCTAGTGGCGTATCTAAGAGCCTTGAAATGGGGGAGGGTGGCTAGGGAGCGCAAAGGTGAAGTTAGGGGCTCGATATGGAGGGGGTGTTAGCTCACAAAAATAATGTGATATGAAGTGATTTTAATCTACTTGAGGTTAATTTGTTTTTGCTTCTATGATTTTCAGTGTGGGGGCGACTGGGTTTTTTTTAAATTTTTTTTTTTATAGAAAAACATTATTACAACGAGAAGCTCTGTAATGTTAAGGTTTTGCAGAGGAAATTGAAGCCTAGGATACGAGGACAAATGCCTATCTCCTATATTTTTCACGACTACAAGGCATTCATCAAAGATAAAGATGAAATTGATCTTTTAACGTACTATTGTCTTGGCCAAGTTCAATATACGAAGTCTCACGAACCCAACAGTTTTCATTATCAGATGATGTAAACACAGATAAAATTAGTTAATTTAAAAAGAAAAATTGTTTGCCATAGTTTTTTTTCAGGTTCTCTTCCATAACATACACGTTAATTATAGAATTGATTTAATATTCCATCCTATTCTTTAATTTAAAATGTGCTGATAACAGGGGAATAGCATTTGTGAGAGTAAAAAACAAAACTATGACTATTAGATACAGTAGGCAAATGTGGATTTATAATACTATAATGCCTCATTTTTTTGCTAGAAAAATACTGGTTCAAGACGGAATGATGAGAAACACAAGGATTGTTTACCCTGTTTTTGTTTTTGTATTTTTCGGCACAATGCATATACCAACGCATGCTTACGATGGCAATAACTGTACATTTAGCATGAGCAGAAAGGGTTACGTATGGAAACCGGACAACCACAATCCATTTATGACGCTAAAAACACAGGGCGCCATCCGTTGCTCCTCGTTCTGTTGCAACCTCTCCAACTGTTGCTCATTCAATTACCATTCAGATACCAGTGAATGTGAGATGATGTCGGCCAGTGCCATGCCATCTGATTTGGTTGTCAGTGAATCTGGAACATATTACACGTCTGTAAGATTTATTCTATTATGTTTGTTGTGTTGTTGCTGCTGTTGTTGTGCTGCTGCTGCTGCTGCTGTTGCTGCTGTTGTGCTGCTGCTGCTGCTGCTGTTGTGCTGCTGCTGCTGTTGTTGTGCTGCTGCTGCTGCTGTTGCTGTTGCTGCTGCTGTTGTGCTGCTGCTGCTCTTGCGCTGCTGCTGCTGTTGTGCTGCTGCTGCTGTTGTTGTGCTGCTGCTGCTGCTGCTGTTGCTGCTGTTGTGCTGCTGCTGCTGTTGTGCTACTGCTGCTGTTGCTGCTGCTGTTGTGCTGCTGCTGCTGCTGTTGCTGCTGTTGTGCTGCTGCTGCTGTTGTGCTGTTGCTGCTGTTGTTGCTGCTGCTGTTGTTGTTGGTGTTGCTGCTGTTGCTGCTGTTGTTGCGGGTGTTGTTGCCGATGTTCGAGATATATGTATGTATGTATATCTATGATTATGAAGGGAGTGAAGGGGAAAATGGATATTTCATTAAATTACGTTTATTTTATAATTACTAAAATTATTATCGATATTACTACAATTGATAATACTTCACTCCTCAGAATAGCAAAATTATTCATGGCTCGTCTTGTGAAGGGGTATCAACACCCACAATCGGTTCTACTACAGGACCGAGAAGTGAAGCAACATCCGAGGCAGTGTCAACACCGACAGTCGGTTCTACTGCAGGACCGAGTAGTGCAGCAACAACCAAGGTAGTGTCAACACCCACATTCGGCTCTACTGGAGGACCCAGCAGTGAAGCAACATCGGAGGTAGTGTCAACACAGCCAGTCAGTTCTACTGCAGGACCGAGTAGTGCAGCAACAACCAAGGTAGTGTCAACACCCACAGTCGGTTCGGACCGAGTAGTGCAGCAACAACCAAGGTAGTGTCAACACCCACAGTCGGTTCTACTGGAGGACCCAGCAGTGAAGCAACATCCGATATAGTGTCAACACCAACAGTCGGTTCTACTACAGAACCCAGCAGTGAACCAACATCCGAGGCAGTGTCAACACCGACAGTCAGTTCTACTGCAGGACCGAGTAGTGCAGCAACAACCAAGGTAGTGTCAACACCCACAGTCGGTTCTACTGCAGGACCCAGCAGTGAAGCAACATCTGAGGTAGTGTCAACTATTGTAGCATCTAGCAGTGAGGCAACAACTGAGTCTGTGGAAACAGACTGCTTCACCAGCCCATACTCAAATACTGTGGATATCCCGCCATATTCAGGTAATATATATCTTTCAGAATTTGTTCATCATACTTGATGCATTAAGATATAACTTAACGGGATAATCCAATGATCGGTGTATATACATAAACACATACATACACGCATGCACACATACATGCATACATACACACATACATACATACACACACACATGCATACATACATACATACTACACACATACATACATACATATATAAAAATGTGAGGATATATTACAATTCATCAAAGGATAAAAATTACAAAGACAAACAACAGACAAAGAGCAATTGGATGCCAGGATGACCCATGACAGTTGTTAATATTATAACAACTTATTTCCAATGGGATCCAAGCACAGAGACGGAGAAAAAACAAAACAAATTCACGGGTCAAGAAAATATAATAACAAACAAAATTAAAAAGGTTTCGTTAAAATTTAGTCTTTCGAATTACAGTATCTATTACAATATATTTCTTAAGAGCAGTTTTAACTTGACGGGTCAGCTATGTATTTGATGTAGTCTGGAAGAGCATTCCATTCTTTTATTGAATTGAAGTAAAATGTTAGAGAACCAGTACAGTGAAACCAATGAGTTTATGGGGCCCTGGCGGTGACTGGGGCCCTAATAAGCGAGCGTTATGTTTGCGATAGGAGCGAGCAAGCAGACGCTGGGGGCCAGGGGCCAGATTTATCAAACTAATCAGCTTAAGTTCGTCTTAAGTCCATTTTTTTTGCTTAAGTCAAATTTATCAATATTGCTTAGCTTTAAAATTGCTTAAAATTAGGAAGTCAATTGTATGGAAGCGCCATCTAACACGATTTTTAAGCCAAGATTTTGCTAAGATGGTTTAATAAATCAGCTTAAGATATTTATTAGGGACATCTTAACTTTTTTGACTTAGGACATTTGCTAAGCTAAGATTGATAAATCCCGGGCCAGGGGTCCACATAGGGCCCCCGTCGGGGTCCAGGGGTGAAGGCCCCTGGTGGGGGTAAAGCTTATGGTATTTATGAACTGTTAACTGTGTTGTCAGAGAACATAGAATGGTCCATGACTGATGAAATATTTCAAACAATTTTATGCTAAAACCAACATAGACACATCTGTGAACTTTCGGAATGGGTATAGGCCTACAGTAGGCCTATATGCACTCTTTGTGGTGTAAATAAATACAGAGAATATTTTAGTGAGAAACAAAACATGTTTTAAAACTGTCGGGGCACCATTGAATGAAACTATATGGTATTATAGTTTATGTTTTTTCAAACTACAATGTCGTGGCCCCTCGTGCCTGGGGCCCTGGCGCACCGCCCCTCCCCTCCCCGTCAGCGCCCGACGTGACGAAACTGGGCCAATACCTGAAACACATGGGATGACATAATTAAACTGACTGCCTCTTGCCGTGAGATAATTATGGGAGTTAGCAACCGATAGAAATTAGTAGATAAATACGGTGCATTTCTACTCTGAAAAAATTTATAATTTTATGAATGTGATATAATCGCAGAATTCAATCCTATCATTTACTTTCAGAAACCCAGTACCGGTACTTCTAAGCTCCTCGGCACCAATATGTGAACGAGGGCCCCATCCTTTAATCAGTCTAATTTTGTTTTGCGAAATTTGTAGTTTACGTTTACGATGTACTAATTCCACAGTACTAGGAGGAGGCATAATCAAACATACATTTACGACTCAGTTACAGTTAAATTGCGTTCCCGGTAAAGAATTTAAGTCTACTATTAATTTTCTTTATAATGGCACATGCATAATCAGAAAAAGTTAAATACTGGTCAATTTAAATTCCAAGGTATTTAATTGATGTTGAAGTTTGCGGTACACCACGTAGGTTCTGAAAAGAACTGTTGTAGTTAAGAAAGACTTGACGTTTCGATTGAGTTGCTTCTATCGTCTTCAGGAGAATAATGTCTGCAGAAATTCCAAACCGAGAAATACTTATGTTTGGGTAGAAAGGCTGGTTATGATTGGATGGATAAACTGACTAATGAGAAGACTGCTAGTGAAATGCTAAAACAATTGTTCACTGGGAGAAATTGATTTCTTGCACTCGATATTGATGCCCTTGACCTTTAGGTTGAAATCATCGACCTCTTTAATTTTTCTTTTAGATCCAAAAATTATAAATTCTGTTTTAGTAAGATTTATAATCGACGAGTCATTCACGTGCATTGAGGGCGTTTTCCAGTTTGGTAGAAATGGTGTTATCGTCGGCGTAGCTTGCAATCAAGTAAACATGTCGTTTACGTAGTAAGAACAAGTAGGGGATTTAGGATACTCCTTTGGGGTACCCCACATGAGGTAGTACACGGTTGCGAAGTACTCCCAGTCGTGAAAAGCAGAAGATGCATCTTAAAACTGCTCTCGCTAGCCCTGAGCTCTCAAGCTTTTCAACACTGACACTTTGGTGGAATTGGATTCGAATCTCCCGCATCTCTGAATCAGAAAACGGCAGTCCCTAATCCTAGGGTTCGTATTTTGGTTTTATCTGCTTACTTTTTCTAAAGGAAACATTTAAACTGGATTTTACTTGGCTAACATAAGCATTAGCCTCTTAATTTTATAGTTCCTCTAAGCTCGACCATCAGCGATTCTGCTTTTAAACAGCCGTTGGCCTACTTTGCAACTCAAGAACTTAGCATTATGGATCTTAAAAAACGGTATTTTTTATACTTAAAGTTAGTGGTCTTAAAGTTCGACAAATACCAAGCGAACTCCATTATTCTTCAGCTTTTCACAAAATATTACCTTCATTCTTATTCTAAGATATTAAGACTACGAGGAATTTATTAATGATATGGGTGAGTACCTATCGTATGTGTTCATAGCCACCGAAAAATACTCTGATCATGACTGGAATTTCCACCGTAACCCTCATCATCTGGTGATCAGAACATTTTTTCTATGTATACTGAGAGCTAGGTGGTGTCCAAGACCATCGACCCGACCATGCACTCAAATCCTCATGCGTGGAATATCACAAAAGGGGCCTAATCCCTTAAACATTTTGAAAATCTGAATGAAATCCCGCACGGATTCTCCTATAAACAAATGAAACAAACTTTTTAACTTCTTCAATCGCTCTGAATATCTCTTAGGATGGGTATCAATTTAGTTACCCTTTGTTGAACATTCTCGATCAAAATTTTATCCTTATTAAACATCGACCACCATACTGAATTACCATATTCTAAAATCGGCCTGACAATGGTCTTGTAGATAAAAATAAGTGACATGCTTATCTAAAGGTGAATAACATCTTTTTATGACACACTAAAGTCTCTAAAATACAATTGTAAGAACTGGAGCAATTCAACTTGCACATTCTTTCAAGACTCTGGAGTGCAGACCATCTGGCCCAGATGATTTCGAACCATCCGATTTAGAAAGAAATGAAAAAAAACTTGCGTCTCTTGAAAATTTAGAACGCAATATTAGGGATTGGCAGTCAAAACAACGTTATTTGGATAGGCAAATTATTATTTTTGGTCCAACTCCTCGTCGTGGCGTTGGACGACAGGGGGAAAGGCCTATTCGAGTGGGGGGAGGGGGACAAATTTCCCCTGCCCCTCCCCCGCTGGCGCCACCACTGCATACATACCTGTCCCACTTTGGTATCTTGGGAGTCAGTTTCTTCATATCATTAGAATTGTTAAAGACAACTGCTGAGAGCTTATATATAGTCTTCTTTGACTAATAATTTGGTTTACTTTTAACAATTGTATCGTCCAAGATATACCGGTACCTAAATGAAGTGTTTCTCAATAACGAACTTAATTTTGAATGGACGTTTATGAACTAGGCCTGTATCCGTGAAACATTTACACATAATGTATTTATTATATACCTATGATTTAAAAAATGATTTTCGCAGTGAAAGTGACGTCACCATAAATTATGAACAAGCGTACTATTCATATCGATCATAGCTATCAAATTTATTATGTGATATGCCCAAATTTGGATGTAATATGCCCATATTTGGATGTAATGACATCATCATGCCCATATATTGGCACATCACACAATTTTTGTCACATAAAACTTGATACTGCAGTGTGGACAAAGCTTTAGAAAGAACATTTCTACTTGCCTAATTATTGTGTTCGACGTTACGCGTTCACACAACCAATGCGTCAGGTTCGGTCGCCACTTACTAGTAATTAGATTGTCAATATTTGTTATGAAAATAATTGAATGGAAATAAGCCGAATACATTCACTTTTGTTTAGGTTGTTATGTTGGAGTAAGTACTGCCGCTGTGCCGGCGTCATCGTTCAGCGCTTCATCGGGGCAAAATCTCGCTCACTTTGCCCGACTTGGTTGCCAGCAATCTGCTGATATAGGAGGATGGATTGGGAACGCACGTGGATGGTTACAGGTAGAGGCGTACATAACCCATGTGGAATGTTGAGAATATTTCAGGGAGCAATTGCATGTAATAACAAATATGACTTTGTGTATGCTACTTTCTTAGTGTGATCTCGTTAGGGGTGAATAATTTCATTCTAGCAGGCCATTCTAGACAAGGCATGGTCTGGACTGGGGTACGGTATATTAGATCTTAGATATTTATATTAGATCCCTTACTTAACTGTTCTTCACCAATGAACACATACATGAAGGTATAACTTGAGATAACCCTTACTTCTTTTATTAATGTATTAATATAATAAATAAATAATCGAATGATGTTGCTACAATAATAATTTGAATTTATGTTAATGTACAGGTGGACCTGATCACGCTTACAACTGTGTACGGTGTTATAACGCAAGGTGGAGTCTGTGATTCAGTTAACGATTGCCCTAACATTACGCATGACGGCAGCAGTGGAGATGTGTACTACACATCTTATATTAAAGTAGGGTGGAATGTTGACATTGACTCTCATGGCTGGTCCGCCTTTTTAAATCCTTCAGACAACTCTGAGGTAAGTTGAACTTCTTGCACTATGGGACAGGAAAGAGAGGGTGGGGTGTTGAGGGAGAGGCAAAGAGAAAAAATAATAAGTGTGAAGGATTGAGAGGAAGACAATGAGGACTTAATGACAATAGGAAGTTTTAATAAGAAATTGACAACAACTGCAAGCGCATAATTATTAATATTATCATCATTATCATTGTTATCGTTGTGTTTGTTATTCTAGATCAAAATAATTATAATCAGATTACTGGAAACCTATCAATATAATAATTAAACTATATATAAATGTTCATGCTTAAAATCCATGGAAAGAGTAAATTTATGTAATTAAGTCTATTAAAATAATTCTATCTGTGACAGTCCTATTTATAATACCGATAATATCGATAAAGAATGTTTTTAATAAAACGTATCAGAAAGATAATTACAATGCTGGTAATAAGCCAATTCGTAGTTTGAACTGCGCATGCCCTTATACAAGGTGAATCGACTTAACATTGTTGTGTACATGTTTGTTTATGACTAATAAACCTTAGTACGGGCATGCGCAGTTCAAATTACGAATTGGCTTATGTAATATTATTTCTGTAAATATCTAATCATGTTCCAGGTGTTTCCGGCTAACACTGACTGTGGAACACCATTATTGAATTGGTTTTCAACTCACGAGATTACTAGATACCTACGGATGTACATCAAATCGTTTGTAAATAGTCCAGCTCTGCGGTTCGAGCTACTGAACTGCCCAAAAAAAAATTGAAGCAGTAAAGATTGATGGCACCAAATCTTAGTGACACCAAATTCAAAGGCAAAGCGACACGTAGAAATTCATATGTTTGGCCATGTTAGTTCACGACAATGACGGAACTTTTTGCTATGCTTGTTATATTTTCGGTGTTTGTATATATTTGTGTATCTGTATGTATTAAAATAGATACACCCAAACAGAATTTCCGTATTTTGGACAATAAAATAATCTTGAATCTTGAATCGTCTTTGTTCAATATTTTCTAATTTTAATAGTAAAAATAATAGTAGCAATAATAATACAAATGTTAATGATAATAACAATATTTCTGATGATGATGATGATAAAAGATATTTAACGATAATATTCATGAGGACGATAATGATGATAATAATAATAATAAATAATAATAATAATAATAATAATAATAGTAAGAATATAATGAAAACAAAGATTATTAATAAGAGATGATGATGATGAAGATGATGATCATCATCATCAGCATCATGGTGATGATAATGTTAATGATGATGATAAGGTTGTGACGATGAGGACAATAACGTGATGACAATGTTGCTGATGATGATTATGGTGAAGATGATGTGATGATGATATGGGTATAAGGGCCTAATTATAATGGTTTTGGTGATAATAGTTATTACTCTATAAATATCTATTTCTAGTTATTTCCGGGTAATACTGACAGTGGCACACCGATTATAAACTGGTTTTCAACTCAAGAAATCACTAGATACATAAGAGTGTACACCCGATATTTTGTGAATAGTCCAGCTCTGCGTTTCGAACTTCTGAACTGTCGGCCGAATGTATGCGTTGACGACTGTAGAGAAAGGGACGATAAATAAGTGGTAGGGCCTAATCTCACAGTGACGTCAGCGATGGCAGTTTGGACATTTTACTCCTCGTCCACTCTGTTCATAAGCCTAATAAAACATATTTCGGTGATGTGTATTATATATAATATTATGATGTAGGCCTATGCAGTGGCATCTCTAAGGGTATCCCCGACGAAAGCAATGTGGGCATGGTCGAGCTTCGATTAAAAGGTTTCGAAAGCGGTCCACGAAAATTTTAACAATTTAGGGGTTTCAAAGGCTTATTTAATCGATTTTAGAGGCTAATATGTAGAAAATACATATATTTTTTTTTCTCTCCGACGAATTTTGCTTTTTCTCCCCGACGGGAAAGGGGGGGGGAAGCTCTCCCCGACGGGGGTTCTGGCCCCCGGGCGCCACCCCTGCAACATGGAAGAGGTATGAGGTGAATTCCAGTGGGGTTGGGGAGAATTTCCGATAGGACACAAATAAATCTTGAATGTGAGATCGGGTGGGGGTGGGGGAGAGATTTTTTGTGGACGAGCATCCCCTAGATATGCCACTAGATGTATGTAAATGTGGCCGACGAATCGAACGCAGTTGGTAGACTAAACTAGGCCCTACAGTATTTTTATGTGCACCAAATGTTCGAAGAAACTACCAATCTTTAATTAAATGTAATGTTATGTTAACAATGTAAATATTATTAAAATGTTGATGTAGTAAATATTAAAAGTTGAAAGATAAAGATATCAGTTAATTATTATTTATCCAACTCAGCCCTCTACTTATATTCATTGTAAAGTTTATTTATTGATTGTTATCAAGATTTACATCGACATCGTCATCATTTAACTAGCGTGAGTGGGCCAAATGTAACGTTATATAATAAGGAAATGCTAGGTCAGTAAATGATATAGTCTGGTAATTGTCAGTAGGAAGTTTTCGATATCATCGCAATGTTGTAGGTCTTATGTGAATTATCTAATTTCTATATGGCTTTATGGTGAACATTAATGTCGTATGTATCTTGAAAATCGAACATAGAAGAGTCATGTACACTATTTATTCATGCGCACTTTGAAGAAGGCGGAGCCAATTCGAATTCAGTGGCGGATTTAGAAATTTGTTATTGCTTTGTAGCTCTAAGTAGCCGGAGTTTTTCCCCATTAAAAAAGTCACAAATGTAGAAGGGATGCCGAATGGTTGGGCCGTCTGGCTTTCCCCTTGGATCCGCTTCTACTGTAATTGTGACGTATTTAGTTTACGTTTTATTTGAAAACTCCTCTAGTACGGTACCCAAAATTTAAACGTGTACTGTTTTCGAGGTATACACACTTAATGTACTCTCCATTGAAAATGTATCACTAAGATATTAACACTTGATAACCAATACCTTTTCGGGCAAAATGTTAAATATTTTCTCAAGGACACTTCTTCAAACAACTTGATTAATAAACTGTCTAATCAAACCTACTTTTGAGCTTCTTACTTTATTTTATATATACAGTAGGATATATAATCAAATCAGTAAATGATTAAAACAGTGTTTGAGCATAGAAACAAGCAATGTTGTAATTGCATCAAAACAATATTAATTCTCTATCATGCTGTCTGAAAATGCCTCTGCAGCCTCAAATGACGTTTCAGATGACTTATACAGTATGTTCTGATTTTTAGTGCGTTTCATTTCTGTGTGATCTAATGACATTTCTGTGTGTTCTAATATATTGTACAGTGTCTCACCATGGTCTCACTGTATATCTTTAGACGTTGTTTCAATTGGTTACGGTATTTTCACTTTTCAAAAGCTATTAAGAGTAGTAATATACAGTGTATTAAAGAAAAAACAGATTGAAAACAAAATAGGTTCCATTGATTTATATTTATTTACAGGCAACAACCAAATCTATGGTTAAGTATGCTGAATATTGCAGATAAACCTACAGGTTGCAGAAGTCCTCGGTTGTAGATAAATCAAAAAACCTTAAATAAAAGGCCCATGGGCTTAATCTCGAGAAGAGACCAATTTCGAAAAGAAACCTCCCTCTTCAGTTTGCAAAAGTAAAACTCGAAAAGCTCATCTCGCAAAGATGCGAATTTATTCGCAAGAATCGAAAGTGTCGGGTTCACGTGCATGTGCATTCACATTTCTATCGGAGTTTTTGCGAAGCAAAAAAATGCTTAACCAATCAGAGCACATGAAGTGAACCGACGCTTTGATTCGCGCGAATAAATTCGCCTAGTAGAAAACCAGCTTTAAGACTGACCTTATCTTTTATTATTATAATAGCGTTTCAGTATCAATATTGTTTTATTGTAACAGCATAGTTAAAATGATAAAAAAAAAATAAACACAATTTGAATTTTATAGTTGAAAAATATCGTAATAATATATAAAATATAATTTTAAAATTTACAGCATTCATTTTAGTTTGCAAAAGCAATCTCGAAAAGAGGCCCATCCAATGGTCCTAAAAAATCAGAACAAGCCCAGGGCTTTTATTTGAGGATTTACGGTATACTTTCTAAAAATTTAACATGCATAACAATCAAGTGGGTATGGGTTGTTGTAAACAATGCCATGACATTACCAAAAACATAATTACAACATTCAACAAAAACAATACTGTATTTACAAAAACAAGACACCTTTAGGTCGAAATATGAATCAGATTTGACCTCTATTATTGTACGTTAGGCAAGACTTTTCATATTACAGTACTGTGTAATAAAAGTTGGAGCCATATTTATCAGTAACATGAACTACAAATAAAATAAGTACGCTGCAGTAGCAAATTTCTTTTGACTAACAAAATTTATGGAGACGAGCCCTTTTAAGGTAAGGTACAGTAAACTGTACACCACTGACTTTGGTTGTTTGTCATCACTTCAAGATGTCTACCATTTGTGGAAAAGGCCTATTACAAATACATTATATAAAAAAACATTTCATAAAATTTCATCATTCACCTGATGAAGCAACTGTAGCTCAAACTACCAAAAGCTTTTGTAAATATATAAATTTTGTTAGTCATTAAATAAATTTTGTTACAGTAGTCATTTATGGAGGCCCAGTTGAGGGAAAGCGAGGTAGAAGAGGACCAATGAAAATGTTGGGAGAAGAGCATTGAAAAACTAAACATCAGCATAGTCGAAGCAGGGAGAATGGTAACAAAAAGAGCTTCATTCTGAGTAGCTTTCAGGAAAGCTATATCCTGCTAAGGATATGCAGTACAGTACTACTACTGTACTCAACTACTGTACTGTACTTGATCAAAAGAAGGTACTACTGTACTTATTTTATTTGTAGTTCATATTATTGTGTCTGTATGTATCCTCAGATGTCGTTGAAACTGTCTACGGTGCTTAAATTTCTTTCCACAATTTTGACATTTATATGGCATTTCTTTTGTATGTAACTTTGCATGTGTTTTTAGATAACTACTGCTTCTAAATTTTTCCCCGCACTGTTCACATTCAAATGGAGTCTCGCCTGTGTGTATCCTTACATGTAGTTTTAAATTACTATTTCTATTAAATTTTATTTGTAGTTCATATTATTGTGTCTGTATGTATCCTCAGATGTCGTTGAAACTGTCTACGGTGCTTAAATTTCTTTCCACAATTTTGACATTTATATGGCATTTCTTTTGTATGTAACTTTGCATGTGTTTTTAGATAACTACTGCTTCTAAATTTTTTCCCGCACTGTTCACATTCAAATGGAGTCTCGCCTGTGTGTATCCTTACATGTAGTTTTAAATTACTATTTCTATTAAATTTCTTTCCACAATGTTCACATTCATACGGAGTCTCTCCCGTATGGATCATCAAATGTTTTTTTATTTGGCTGCTAGACTTAAATTTCTTTCCACAATGTTGACACTCATAAGGTGTCTCTCCTGTATGTATTCTTACATGCGTTATAAGATAACTACTACTTGTAAATTTCTTTCCACAATATTCACATTCATGCGGCGTGTCTCCATGAATTTTCAAATGACTTCTCAGTTGGAAACTATCTCTATATTTCTTCCCACAATGTTCACATTCATATGGCATCTCTCCTGAATGCATCCTCAAATGGCTTTTCAATTGGCTATTGTCTCTAAAAATCTTACCACAATGTTCACATTTATGTGGTGATGTTCGCGTATGTATCCACATATGATTTTGCAAACAGCTTCTATGTTTGAATTTCTTTCCGCAATTTCCACATGCGTATGGCGTCTCTCCAGTATGTACCCTCATGTGTCTTTCTAAACAGCTACTGTATCTAAATGTCTTCTTACAGTGTCCACATTGAAATGGCGAATGCTCATCTGTAATTCCTAAGTGGCTCTTCAACGTAAGAAAGTCAACTTTTTCTCCACAATGCTCACAATCATACATCATCTCCTGTTTGTTTGTTTCCTCAACCTTTTCTTGAACTTCCATTTTGGATTATGATAGTCTAATGTTTCAAAGTATTTTTTCACATTTTTTCATTATCTGTATTGTGAACACAAGATTTCAGGAGGAATGGTTTTCAGACCTTCTGTTAGTTTTAATGTCAGCAAATCACTTTTCTAAATTCTACAACCAGCTGGACTGTTCATTACTGTGAAGAATGAAAATGAAATAACAATTTACTTTGTTGATCATTTTTAAACTCTAAATCCTTTGCTTTAAAACCCTTGAACCTATCATAGGAGAAAGCACCACATAGGCCTATAGGACTAAAGCACACTTATTTGATTCTTACAGAGTTACAAAAGAGTACTTTAATAAACAACTGGTTAAATTTTCATGTGAATTGTGGAATCTCATTTCATGTGTTCACCATCCAAACAGAGATAATGAGTCAACGAACTGTTTATTGTTACACACTATTTCTATGTCAAGCATACAGTATCTAGAAGAAAGCGGTTCACGCTCCCTAGACTACTACTAGGCCTAGTCCCAGTAGGCCTCTACACTTCTACTAGGCCCAGTAGGCCTCTACACTACTACTAGGCCTCTATACTACTACTAGGCCCAGTAGGCCTCTACACTACTACTAGGCCCAGTAGTAAGGCCTCTACACTACTACTAGGCCCAGTACTCAGTAGGATAGTAGTACTGTAGTAGCCTAATAAGCGCGAATAGCGCCTACTACATCAGAAGGCGGCGCTCCACCCTACTTTTTAACCTTTGTTCATGGGTCCATGGTGTTAACTGAATAATAAAAGAAAACTATTAATCTCACCACATATATTTCACATGAATATAAGCCTACTAAGCCTAACGAAGGTCTGTGATAAACCATAGATGACTTTATCGATAATTAATGGCTTAAAACTCACCCAAAATAATCAAATTTGTCATACCATTTTACCAGCAGATGTGATGCGCTGCTGACTTGCTAAGTCTTGTTTGTCGCCCTCATTAGTGGGGTGCGAATATGCGTAAAGTCAGCTGTGTGTAGGGTAGTGTAGAGTGTGTGGTAGTGTAGGATAGTTTGGTAAAATCTCATGAATTATTCATAATCATCTTTATTGAACGTATTTTGCGCATGCGTTGTTTTCAAGTCTAATAAAAACCACCTTTTATAGATAGTTGTCCGAATTATGGTAAAAATTGACTGTTTTTTAAACAGTTTTTTGCCGCCGTGCTTCAGAAGGTAATGCTATCAAGCATTTTTCTACTCTCGTATGGTAATAATTGTATCATTTTTGCATCCGTGTGGTCCTGTGTGATATTTTGTAGGACCCATACAATTTGTTTTTTTAGGATAATAGTTTCAATCTCATTAGTCTTGCAAATGGTACAATGCCCTAGCCTGTGTGTGTATGACCTATATTAGATCATGACAGTTTCTAAATCTAAAACATTGTTTGCTTTAAATTTTAAGTTTGCCTCATGAAATTTAGTTTATCTAAAGGGCAAATAGAAAAATTTATTAGATTATCACTCCCGCCCGTGTCAAAAATTTGGGAAATATTGATGCGGGAATAAACATTTTTTTTTTTTTTTTTGCCGCATCAATTATTTCAACAGCATAACATTAACTGCAATTTTGTGACTTCGAATACCTTTTTTTTAAAAAAACTATAAAATTAAACCAGTTTTTATACAATATTTACTATTACAAATATAAACAGTCCCTCCCTCATCAATAAAAACAAAAGCTAAATAATCTATTGTTCCGATTAAAAAAAAAAATGTGCCCTAAGAGATAGAGGCCTATTCCATACTTGGTGCATTCTTATACATAATATAACTATTTAGTGGGTTTTTTCCTTCCCTTTTTCAAACCAATCTGTATCACGCATCTCTAAATAGGGATAACAGCTGTGTCAAACGATGGACCTACAATGAATAAGGTGAAAGGAAATTAAATTTTTGGCGAACTGAGCAGATAAAAATAATTTAAAAGCGGCCCTTTTAATAATTTTAGATATTATTATAGTCAAGATTTAGATGGGTAGAGGCCTAATTCAACGAAGGATCCAGTGAGCACCATGGTCTTCTATATAAGTAGGGCCTACTTTATTGCAGAATATACAAGCATTATTATAACAACAAACTTTAATCCGTCTGTTACTGGTATTAACATCCGGTCTGTTTTATAATTGTCATGAACTGCAGACAACACTGCATGGGCATAAAGTCCTAGCTTTGCAGCATCGAGCGAAGTTTCTTAGCTTACAATAGTGGAATTTCAAATGAACAACAAATTAATCTCACCTCATGTCACCTACATTTGGTTTTCTAAGATTGTTTATTTTTGTTCACTTGACCTTGAAAATGCATCCATGATGGACACAAAACGTCAATAAATTTTGTGTTAAAATTATTATTATTAATACTATTTTATTTATTTTTATACAATTATTTAAAGAACCGGTAACCCAAGGTGGGACCCTTTTCCCCTCTTGAAAATGATGAATCGAAGAGGTCCAGATTCTAGAATTTTTTTTTGCCCAAGGGGGTGAGGACCCCTGACATATCAGATCTGCCAATGATTGTAACTCGGATTTAAGCTTGTAACCTATGCACATTAGATGCACGTACGCAAATGAAGATTTATGCATACCCAATGTCGGCCTATTGTTGCACGCAAATACTCCAATTAAAAATGTGTGTGGAAATATTAATTGATTATATAGTTAAATAGTTATTTACACAAAATGTTTTAACACTGTCATGAGGATGGATAATGTACATCCAACAGTGGGTGGACAAAGCCTGAAATAAGTAATAATTTAGTAGTCTTTTTAATCTACAGTATATCTATAGTAGGTTACCCATGCGGGTTACTTCGTCAGCAGAGATACTTTACTGATATGCAAGGGCCCCAAACATTTTCTCCTTCCCCAGGTCCTATGACTCATTGTTACGCTACTGACCTTCATATTGTTTTCCTCATGTATTCATGCAACTGACAATTGTTTATTTTCCACATCAAATAACTATTGCAATTTTTCCACTACCGTAAATAAATTATCTTATTTTCGAAATTCTTTCAAAATGAATCCTGTAAATTTTGAAAATTACTGTATAAAACAATAGCACTACTGAAAAACATTTTACGACTATCCTGTAAAAAAAAAAAATAGCATAACAAGAAAATCTGGTATTTTAAAAAACTTACAGTACAGTAGACTAGTTTTATCATCTAATTGCAACATTAATCTAATCACCTAAACTACGGTATTAACTAATTGTCTTTTTCATTGTATATTGGTTTCTTTTCTTTTGGTATGTAAATTCATTTACACACAAAATAGTACTTTTTTGCCCTGCTGCATGGTGCAAACTCTAGGCCCCACCATCATGCTGACGGTAGAAGGGACTGTGACCTCAATGACGAAAGAGCTTGGCCCCTGACCGTGCAGCGCCACGGATCAGTGAGTTGACGATAAACGTTAATTATGGAGACTGTCAGTTCGAGCTCCTGGATGAAGGACTAGCCTAGGCCTATACTTCTTGATGAAGCCGATAGCAAAAGCACAGAAAGACAAATTAAATATGTCTTGTCAATATTCAAAATATTGTAAGACTGTGGTGCTGTTGAAATTGAGGAAACGAGCAAAGAAGAGCTAGACACACTCTTTGATCGCCTAGACTGGGCCTACGGTAGTTAGAAGGCCTCTAGGAAGTAAGTACTGTACTTGTTAGGCCTCATAGAATCTATGTATGAGGTATATAAAACAATAATTTTAAATTCCTATTTGTATTGAACTTCTTTCCACAATGTTTACATTCATATGGTCTCTCTCCTGTATGTATTCTCAAATGTGCCGCCACATGACTACCGTCCCTAAATTTCTTTCCACAATGTTCACATTCATAAGGCGTCTCTCCAGTATGTGTCCTCAAATGTCGCTTCAACTGACCCTTACATTTAAATTTCTTTCCACAATGTTCACATTCATATGGCGTCTCTCCGGTATGTGTCCTCAAGTGTATTTTTAAAGCGCTACAAACTTTAAACTTCTTTCCACAATGTTCACATCGGAATGGTTTCTGTACTGTACGTATCATCAAGTGTTTTCTTAATCCACTACTATGTTTAAATTTCTTTCCACAATGTTCACATTCATGTTGTGCCTCTCCGGTATGTGTTTTCAAATGTACTGTCAAATCACAATTATGTTTAAATTTCTTTCCACAATGTTCACATTCATGTGGCCTCTCTCCTGTATGTACCCTCCAATGGCATTTCAAATCATAATTATCTCTAAATTTCTTTTCACAATGTTCACATTTGTACAGTGTCTCTCCTGTATGTATCATTAAATGATTTTTTAAAGACAAATTGCTTGTAAATGTTTTTCCACAATGTTCACATTCAAATTTGACATGTTCACACTCAAATTGTGTTTTTGTCTTAATCCCCAAATGTGTCTTTAAAGTAAGTAAATCAAATTTGTCTCCACAATGCTCACACTTATATTTCATATCCTGTGTGTTTCTTTCCTCAATCTCTATTTGAGCTGACATTTTGTTATACTGTTCCTATTTTAATATATTTTCATTCTTATGATCTCAATGTATTTTTCATTAGATATTTTGAACAGAAGACATCAGGAGGGATGTTTTCAGCAAAGCAAATACATCATTTCTTTCGTCATTAAATATTTTTCTTCTATTGGTTTTGATCGGGAATTTCTTCTTTGCTGTGAAGTATGAAAATTAAATAACAATTAGTTTTGAGAAACATTGTTATCAAGATGGATGTGGCAAAAAAGATGCAATCGCACTGGCTGCACTCCGCCTGCATCTGCCCCTGGTACCTATAGTTCTAAGCCAGTGTAGGAATGTGGCCGAGTTGAGTGTGGCAGAGTTTGGCTTGTGGCCGAGTTGACTTTGGCCGAGTTAACTTGTGGCCAAATTTACTTGTGGCTGTAGCGGAAATCCTCTCTAGCAGTGGCCTACTACTACTAACTAAAGTAGCCTAGAGCATAAGGAGGCACAGTAGGCCTAAGCCCTATTGACAATAACATACTAGGCCTTAGACGCTGACTGCCAGGGTCCCCTTCACGTCACACAGGTATGTGCAGGTGGTACCTTGGGAACCTCGGAAGGCCCGGGAATTTTACACGTTAGTGTAGCCGTGTTTTGGGGTGTGTACGGCGGTAGTGGCGATGTACTTTAAAACGATGCCCCACATTGTCGGGAGGTGGTCGGAACTTTCACATGCGTGTGACCGTTTTAGAAATTATATCCCCGGCTAAGTCCCCGCTAGGCCCGGGTCCGGGACTACAATTGACAAGTGCATTAAGTTCTGCTTGACTGATCAGACCCAGATGATGTGACTACTGAGACAGATTTGGATTGGCATAGGCAGTACAGTACTTCGATGGGAAAACTAGGCCTACTTTTTTTTTTGGGTCCGACTGCACGACGGGCAAAAAATGTTGCCTTTGTTCATTCTTTTTTCTTAGCCGGGGATGTAAATTTCCAAAACGGTTACATGCATGTGAAAGTCCCGGCCACCTCCCAGCAATTTGGGGCATCGTTTTAACGTACATGCCCAGGTAAGTCTCCACCCCTTGCCGCGGTAGTCCCAGTAAAATTCCCCGCTAATAAATGATTGGATGATAAGACCTACTTGAATGTCTAGCCTAGGTATGAAATCGTAGAAGCACGTGAGAGCTTGGCAGGTGCTAGGCTAAAGATATGAGCTTGCTTGATGGAAGCACTACATGTGCGTATCACTAAGCAGATTTCCAGGGAAGTTTAGAAGTGGGAAAAAAAAAAAGGAGTGTATTGACAGATTGATCATAGAAAAAGAAAATAATTGATTGACTGATTTAGCCTATAGAATTTAATTACTCAATATCAAAACAGAAATTAGGCCAAAATAAGAAAATGAATACATTAGAAACAGATTTCCTTGCCTTGGCCCATGTACTGGCATTTTTTTGACGCAAACTAGTCAAATTCACGGTTCACAAATTTTCATGCAACACACTCACACGCTCCGCCACCTCGGCATTGTGTGGTTGGACTTTCAAATTTTATTATGAAATTTATAATGTGATTTATAAAAAATGAAATCATGGTGGTAAGCCTCAAGTACCGGTAGGCAATTTTTTAATTACCAAAACACAGTAGTTGCTGACGGAATGCCTAAGCCTAGTGTAGGCTAGGTTGGACCAGACCCGGTTTGACAGCACTAGGCCTGCACACGCGTGGCTACTCTAACGTGTAAAATTCCCCTGCCCTTCCAAGGCCTGTTACATTTACAGGTAAATTTTAGGTACGTCCTGGCACTTCAGGGACACAACTAGGCCTATGTGGGCTAGTGCTCCGCTATGGCCCAGCGGGGATGTGTATAAGAGACAGGATATGAGCTTGCTTGATGGAAGCACTACATGTGCGTATCACTAAGCAGATTTCCAGGGAAGTTTAGAAGTGGGAAAAAAAAAAAGGAGTGTATTGACAGATTGATCATAGAAAAAGAAAATAATTGATTGACTGATTTAGCCTATAGAATTTAATTACTCAATATCAAAACAGAAATTAGGCCAAAATAAGAAAATGAATACATTAGAAACAGATTTCCTTGCCTTGGCCCATGTACTGGCATTCTTTTGACGCAAACTGGTCAAATTCACGGTTCACAAATTTTCACGCAACACACTCACACGCTCCGGCACCTCGGTCCTCGGCATTGTGTGGTCGGAATTTCAAATTTTATTATGAAATTTATAACGTGATTTATAAAAAATGAAATCATGATGGTAAGCCTTAAGAACCGGTAGGCAATTTTTTAATTACCAAAACACA